CCACAAAGCACATGTGGACAGGTTGGGCGAACTCCCATGAACCCTCGAGTATCCGATGGAGAGTATAGAGCTGGTCCAGTGTTCCGCGACCGGGACGAAAACCACACTGCTCCTCCTGAATCCGAGATTCGACCATCGGACGAAGCCTCCTCTCCAGTACCTTGGAGTAGACCTTACCGGGGAGGCTGAGGAGTGTGATCCCACGATAATTGGAACACACCCTCCGGTCCCCCTTCTTGTAGAGAGGGACCACCACCCCGGTCTGCCACTCCATTGGCACCGCCCCCGATCGCCACGCGATGTTGCAGAGACGTGTCAGCCAAGACAGTCCTACAACATCCAGAGACTTTAGATAGTCAGGACGGATCTCATCCACTCCCGGCGCCTTGCCACCATGGAGGCTGCCAACCACCTTGGTGACCTCGGCCAGGGAGATGGAAGTATCCGCCCCAACATCCTCAGCCTCTGCCTCCTGGACGGGGGACGTGACGGGGGGATTGAGGAGAACCTCGAAGTATTCCTTCCACCGCCCGACAATATCCCCAGTCGAGGTCAGCAGCCCTCCACCCGCACCATACACGGTGTTGGCAAAGAACTGCTTCCCCCTCCTGAGGCGCCGGACGGTTTGCCAGAACCTCTTCGAGGCCGACCGATAGTCATGCTCCATGGACTCTCCGAACTCCTCCCAGTCCCGGGTTTTTGCCTCTGCAACAGCCCGGGCCGCGGCACGTTTGGCCTGCCGGTACTGGACAGCTGCCTCAGGAGTCCCACGAACCATCATTGCTCGATAGGACTCCTTCTTCAGCCTGACGGCATCCCTTACTGCCGGTGTCCACCACCGGGTTCGGGGATTGCCGCCGGGACCAGCACCAGAGACCTTGCGACCACAGCTACGAGCCGCCGCATTGGCGATAGAGGAAGAGAACATGGTCCACTCGGACTCGATGTCCCCCTCCTCTGCCGGGACCTGGGAGAAGCTCTCCCGGAGGTGTGAGTTGAAAGTCCGTCTGACAGGGGGCTCAGCGAGACGTTCCCAGCAAACCCTCACTACACGCTTGGGCCTGCCAGGTCTGACAGGCCTCCTGCCCTGCCAGCGGATCCAACTCACGACCAGGTGATGATCGGTTGACAGCTCCGCCCCTCTCTTCACCCGAGTGTCCGAGACACGCGGTCGAAGGTCAGATGATACGACTACAAAGTCGATCATCGACCTCCGGCCTAGGGTGTCCTGGTGCCACGTGCACTGATGGACACCCTTGTGCTCGAACATGGTGTTCGTGATGGACAGGCCGTGACTGGCACAGAAGTCCAACAACTGAACACCGCTCGGGTTCAGATCAGGGGGGCCGCTCTTCCCGATCACCCCTCTCCAAGTGTCACTGGCATTTCCCACATGGGCGTTGAAGTCCCCCAGGAGAATAACGGAGTCCCCGGGCGGTGCACTGTCCAGTACCCCTCCCAAGGACTCCAAGAAGGGCAAGTACTCTGCACTACCGTTAGGCCCGTAGGCCGTCACAACAGTGAGAGACTTGTCCCCCACCCGGAGGCGGAGGGACGCGACCCTCTCATTCACCGGGGAGAACTCCAACACGTGGCGGCTGAGATGGGGGGCAATGAGTATGGCCACCCCAGCTCGCCGCCTCTCCCCGCGGGAAACACCAGAAAAGTGGAGCGTCCAACCCCTCTCAAGGAGTTGGGTTCCAGAGCCCAAGCTGTGTGTGGAGGTGAGGCCGACTATCTCTAGTCGGTATCGCTCAACCTCCCCCACAAGCTCGGGCTCCTTCCCCCCCAGTGAGGTGACGTTCCACGTCCCAAGAGCCAGATGTTGGGTGTGTGGACTGGGTCGTCGAGGTCTCCGCCTTCGACTGCTGCCCAGTCCTCTCTGCACCTCGCCACCACGGACCCCTCTGCAGGTGGTGAGCCCACAGGAGGGACTGCCCACGTCATCCCTTCGGGCTGAGCCCGGCCGGGCCCCGTGGGCTAAGGCCCGGCCACCAGGCGCTCGCTTGCGAGCCCCGACCCCAGGCCTGGCTCCAGGGTGGGGCCCCGGCTGCGCCATGCCGGGCGACGTCACGGTTTTTGTTGTCGTGCTGTCCATGGTTGGCTACTTGATTATTTGTGAGAAAAATCGTGAGTACAGTAAATAATTAAGGTTGTTATCTAGTAAATGAGGGTTTTCTGGATCTACAGCCCGTCCATCTGTGGGAGCGTCTCCCTCTCTCAATGTGGTGTGAGGTTTCTCACATTATTCCCACTGGGCTTTTCAGTGGTTCCTTGTCCTGAGTTTTGAGTGGTTCCTTGAGTGGATCCATGTCGATGCAGAAGGGTCTTTGGACATTTGTGGACACGTCACCCCACTCTGTATGGACCAATGGCTCCAATCCGTTTCTTACTATTGCATTTCCTGTGTTCTCTGATTTCTTGTTGGTGAATCGTCATCCGTAAGTCCTCTGAGACGCCTGCTGTTGTGATTTAGGGCTATACAAAAATAAATTGAATTGAGTTTGAAATACTTATGATTTGTATGAAGAAAATAAACCTGCCTGATCTCGGGACGATCCACAGAGCATCACCACCAAACCCGTCACCTGAGAGAAGACTACTCTTTGATCTATTCCCGCCCTTGTTCTTGTGAAGCAAAGTTTGTCGACCCAAGTCAATACAAAAGACTTAAGATATAAAGTTGTGACCATTGTGATACATACAGACATATTTTTTGGCTAAGCTTAAGATAGATTTGACCAGATAAAAATAAAGCCAGACCATAGACATAATAGTTTGTTTTGGTCCTCATGGTGAGAATGGATAGTTTTGTTTCTTGACCTTCAGGAAACCAGGGCACCAAAGGAAATCTGCCCCGACACAGAAAGAGCATGCAAACTCTACACACAGACATCAAGCTCAGCACCTTCTACTCATGAGGTACTTTGTTTATCTTAAGTTTGGAAATGTATTTGTATCAGACCTAAAGATCAACTTTAGACACTACAGTGATAGAAACTTTTCCCACAGACACACGTCTTATTCCACATTGAAATTAGTCTCATTCAATAGATACTGTACATTTATATTTGGTGAGTAAGTAAGAAAGTAAGCGCTTCAGAGTGAAAACAGATATAATACAAGTTAAAATACAATTTCAAATATGCATACTTTTTTTTTTTAAATATAATGCCAAAGACAACTCAGTGACAGGTTAAAACAGCCGCAAGAAACTCAAGTAAAAGCTTTCCCAAATATATAATATATGGTAAAAATTATTGCAATGATTCAAAATATATCCATCCATCAATTTTCTATCCAAGCAGAGACGAGCAGACTTCCCTTTCCTCACACGCTTCCTCACAGGTCATCCAGGGGAATCCCGAGGCGTTCCCAACCCAACTGAGAGACAGCTCCTGGTGGGATGTGACTGAACACCTTCCCAGGGAACTTCCAGGAGGCATTTGAAACAGATGCCCGAGCCACATCAACTGGCTCCAATCAACATGGAGGATCAGCGGCTCTACTCTAAGCTCCTGCCGTGTGACCGAGCTTCTAAGCTTATTGTGGAAAGTAGTTAGATGTCTCTGTTGTATAAGATAAGATAAGATAAGCCTTTATTTGTCCCACAGAAGAGAATTGTTAATGTCATCGTTGTGCATGTTACAGCAGAATAAAAGGGAAATAATAGAATGCACACATCAAACATGATATATAATTGAAGAAAATAATAATATATAAAATTAAAAGTCTGGAGCTATACTTGAAGGACTGGTGTACACAACAGTAAAAATAGCAGCAGGTAAAGTAACTAGTGAATGACAGAAAAAAATGATAGATACTTTTGAACCCTAAATTCCTATTACTATCTTTTTAGGGAAAAAAGTGGCTCGTTCTAAACTATTCTCGGCAAAAGTGCAATCTAACTTGTATTGTCCATGTGTTGGAATAAACATGCTTCAAAAGTTGTTGTAAATTACTCAGAAAATACATTGTAATGGATTGATCGTAAAATCAATAGCAGACTCAAATGTAAGTAATTTTGCTGGATTTCTGTGAACGTTGAAAACAAAAGAGTTGTTAAATACAAATGGATTTATCACAGCTCCAGTCCTCCACAAACAAACAACTCAACTTCAACAAACAAAGACATCTTCAAAGGATCAATAATCCACTTAAAACACCAGGCTGACAATTTGCCTTGAACATATATGTGTATCCCAGGGTTTTAGAATGATGAGAATTAGTGAAGATTTGCTTAAGTTAAAACATTTATCATGAATGGGGAAAAGATATTCACAAAATAGTGTGAAACAAGAATTGGAAAGAATCTTAATCTGTGTAATGCCCCCCAAAAACATGATTTGCCTGTTTGGTTTTAATATATATACACTGGGATGTTTAGAATGTGCTTTACAAACTAATAGTGGTGAAGCTTTCATAACCAAATACTCAATATTATGGAGGGAGGTGGTCATCTGCCGCCACCTAGTGTCACCCAAGGGGTACTACAGGCTTCTCTTGCACTGAGAGGTTACTTACTACAGACCCGTGTTGACGCAATTCTATAATTACAAACTCAAGTGTGGAGTAGATAGAGACAAAAACGCTTATCTGTGTGTTCAGAGCAATACATACAATATTACTACTGCTACTGCTGCTGTTGTGCAGATCTTATACCTTGGACCATTTTTTGCCATCTTTAACTCACAATATTTCTATTTTTGCCTTGAAAAATACAAGCAGATTTAATAGACTTATTATACAAAGAAAACAAAAAATATATACGTTATGCTCTTGGGCTGCATAATTAATCACCATTTTTGTGGCCTCGGAAAAAAGTTGACCTTAAAAAATATAACATTTAACTGTTACCACTTCAGGGCAAGATAAAGAGTGTACACAAATGTGGATGAAAGAGAAAGGACAAGATTATTTTACTTTTTTGTTATGCCTTTTTGCTAAACCCTAGTGTGACAAACGTATTTGCTGCATTACAATAAACAGGTGATACTCACAGAAGTTCCCCGGAGGCTGGAGGCTGTGTTTGGTCATGGCGCACCACCCCACGGGGAATATGTCCCGGGAGTCGTAGGGGCACCAGTAGTCGAAGGCGCCCCTCCATCCATCAAACATGACAAATATCTCCGACCCTCTGACCTCTCCCACAGTGGCGGGGCAGATCAGGTACGGGTTCTTCCTGTCCACCGCCTCCACCTTCATCCCGGCCTGGAACAGGTTTTTGGGCGGGCTCGCTGGTTCCTGGAGAAAAGCCATATATACAAGTTTATTATTATTATTATTATTATTACACACAGAAAATTGAAAAAAGACATACAGATTGCTCTTGGGCTGCATGAGTAATCGCTATAATCGTGGGCTCAAAATGTAGTTAAAACTTTAAACAATTGGTTTGATAACAAGCGTTTGTTAATCTATGTGTTTCATAATGTGTATTTTGGAGTTTTCTTTATTATTGGTATTCATACAAAAGTAGCAAGACTGCTATCATTTAAGGGCTTCAAAAATTGGCAAAAGCAAAACACTTGAATTTGATGTAATTTGGTTTAATCCACATTGGAATGGAACAAGCCAATATCTTTTGCCTTGTTGTCTTGTTCTTTGTTGCCTGAAAGGTTAATCGATGGTTTCAGCGTTTGTATTCAGCATTTGGATTCTTTAAGATATGCATTCAAGTGTGGTTTTCAAAATAAAACTTCACAGACTCAATAAGGGAAAACAAAATTGGAAAAGATTGAACGACTCCATTATGATAGCAACTTGAATATGAATGCATGCCTCCCTCTATTGTCCCGTAAGGATAGTGCACAGAGAAAGAGGGGAAAAAATATATAAATGCAGTTTGCAGCTGGAATTTACCTTCTTAAATACAGAACTCGGGGCCATTTCTGCTCCGCTTAAAGTTCGAAGAAGGAACATAGGCCACGAGGAAGCGTTCATCCTAAAACCTACAAACAAACAAACAATAATGATTTATGTAAGTTGTATATATAGTGGTTTTCCGGACACTGAACAGATGCTTTGAATGGGACACAGTGATGGTGAACCGTGGGGCAGACTGACGGAAGCAAGCAAACTAATATGTGCTTTCAGCACCTCAATCACGCACACAACAGACTCATACAAGGAAATGTTGTGGCTCAGGACAAAACAGTTTAGCACTTTACAGCCGCAGCCGTCCCACAGTGGCCAGAGGTCTCCTATCACAGTACCACCACATGTACAAGTAAAAATGTTGTTAAAGTATAATAATGCATTCCCTTTGATTTACAGTAAAATTAAAAATTATAGCGCTAAGATTAGTATTGAAACTCTTTGGTTAAAATATTGAAATACTAAATTAATTGTTAAAAAATAGCTGAAACATTTGATATTGTATTTACATTATTGACACATTGTGTGGGTGACAGTAGCTCAGTTGGTAGAGGATTGGCCTTTGAGCCAAAAGGTTGTGGGTTCGAGCCCACCACAAGACCTCCTCCATCGACTCCCACTGTCTGCTGTCGTTGTGTCCTTGGCAAGACACTTAACCTCTGGGAACACCTGATGCCACAGTGGGGCGGCTGCGGCTGTAAAGTGCCAAACAGCCGTTGTGTCCTTAGGCAAGACGCTTCACCCCCATTGTCTAGAATGAGTCTGGTGTGAATGGTTGGTGGTGGTTGGAGGGGCTGATGGCACAGACTGGTTGCCTCGCGTCTATCAGTGTGTGCCCCAGGGCAGCTGTGGCTACAGTAGTAGTTTATCACCACTGATGGAGTGAATGAATAATGACATGTGAAGCGTCACTGTGTGTCCAAAAAAGCGCTATATAAAACTGATAATTTATTATTATTATATTATTTATGTTTGTCTTTGAGGTTTTTCACCTCATCATTGACCAGAAAACAAAAAAAATCCTAAAAGAGGAGTAGAGTCAGTTGAGTCTGTTCATTAGAGTGAATTCCATGTATTGACCTTTATTTAACCAGGAGAGTCCCCCTGAGAAATCTCTTTATTCAGGAATGTCCTGGCCCCAGAGAGAGGGGAGCTATTGTACATGTTTTTAGTGGAAGAGGAAACTGGAGCACCTAGAGGAAACCTACGCAGACAAGGGGGAACACATGCAAAGTGCTAACCACTCAGCCACTGTGCAGACTTAAACCAGTGGAGAGCTGCAAAGAAAATAAACTGGACAGAGTTTAATTCCCAAATGTCGTAGTATGTTGTGTGTCCGTTACCCAGAGGCGGCTGCAGCATGTCGCCGCTCCTCTCGCAGGTTCCTATTGGCTGGACCTCGGACGAATCGACCAATCGCCAGAAGTCGTTGGTGTTGTCACTGCCGTCCAGTCTGAGCCGCAACCGCGTGCCGACCATCCCCATCACCGTGGCGATGCACACGGAGTTCGAGTTACGAGGGTCCCGCGCCTCCAGCTTCATGCCCGCCTTGAAGTCATTGGACGGAGGATCTAGGGACTAAAGAGATAAAAAAAAATTATCCACTATGTGTTATGACTTAAAGCTGGGGTACCTAACTTTCAAACCAGGTTTCTATAAAGATTCAGATCTAAGCGTTACCTGTTTGAAGCATGAAGGCGGCGCTGCAATCGAGGAGGTCTCCTTTAGATAATCCTCCCAACAAAATGGTTCTGGGGGAAAAAAAACAGGTTTAGATCTAATTGAACACATTGTTAATAATAAAGGAAAGTAAAGAGTATTACATTTACATCTTTTACATCTCAGTCCAGACACAAGGTCGACACAAATCATTTCTGATCAAAATAAAACAAGGATTTCTATCGGTGCCCTTGTGAAAAAGTTGTTGGTTATAGATTTGTTGTTGATAAAACTCTTGTCTACTCAGATATTATCTGGTAACCTGAGTCAGGGAGAGTGGGAGAGGTTGCAGTACCACTTTTGGCCAGATTTTTTAAATGCTGTTCCTTTAAATCACTAGCAGAAATAAATACAAGTTAAATAAGAGTTCTTCCTGCTCTTGTTCAGGCAGAATTAGGTGGTCATGTTAAAATACTTCAACTGTATTTGTCTCCCTTGTACTGTTCTGGGCCAATACTTAAAATAAAAGTGTGTAAACAAAACGATCATGCGGGGAAACATGCAAGTGACAATTTTAGACCTTCATCATACATTAAAGGAGCTATACCCGTTTCTGCAAGGTTTAAATGTTTAGCACCGCCCCCAACTCGCTCACAGGCTTCTCATTTCCCCTACGCTCTCATTCCACGGAGCCATCCAGTTTTATTTGCGATCTGATACATAAGCTGTGCAACAATCACTGATGAAATGGTACAAAAGCAACGCACTGCTAACAAAATCTGTAAACGAAAGATTACCGCTAGTTCCGCGTCCGAATGTAGTCCGAGAAAAGATAGTCCGAGGCGGTCCCGTTCCCGCAGGTCTCTCCCACAGACAAGTCTCTCCAGAGGATACGATGTAAGCTAGCTATGTTCACCCGGGCTTGATTTCTTCTTTGATCATTTTTTTGCTTTAGTTCCCTCTTCTCTTCCTCACTGTTGTGTCGTTTGGGCTGTTTTGCTGTGTCTGCAGTTACAGCCAGAGGAGTTATAGCCAATTCTGCTAACATGCTACTGTGTTTAGCAGCGCTGTAGAGGCTAAAGGACGCAGCCTCTTTCTGTGATTGGAGGAGAGCAGGCGTCACGCTGTTTCTACTCTGCAATCTTACACGGCCTGAATTCATACACCTGAATCAACGAGCTCAAGTTTTCAATTAAATTACGGATTATAATACAACTTGTATGTAGTAATAAGCATTTTTATGAACTCATAAAAAAAACAAAAAATTGGGTACAGCATCTTTAACAGCACTCTGGGCCCCCCACTTTGAGAACCTCTGAAGCAGCCTTCCTCTGCTTTACAAAACCATCATAAAACCCCACTGAATCATGGCACAAAACACTAAAATTATAAACGGCAAAACAACATAAATAGCTGTGGAGAAGCCCCCCGCCTGGAGTGTGATATGGAACAGAGCGATGGATGACACGTGTCTGCGGGTTTACCCACCAGTGGATTTGTCGAGAGCAGACCCCGCTGTGAGGCCGCTCCTCCGCTCCTTCTTCTCCTCTTTCTGATCTGAAAGAGAAACAAGATTGAGGAGTCATTTGCATTTCGATACAGACGCTCCAATTACCCACTGAGGCGAGGAATGAAAAGTTTATTATGGTCTAATCGGAGACACTTTTGTTAAGTTGAGTGAGTAAAGGAGGAGGATGCGGCCCATTGCTTTCATATGAGTTTTTTTATTTTCTTCATTTGGGAATTAAGTAGACGCTTTTATTTATGCAATTGTTTTGTCGAAGCCCACGTACGCTTCATAAAACCAAGGTCATTCTCGAACTGCTGGAGAATGTTTGTGAGACTGTTTTTTGTATGCAGTCGTCTGATCTACAAGCTTTTTTACACACTTCAGACCTTAACTTGTCTTTGACCCAGTTTTGGTTCAGTCCAAACACACAGTAACTCAACTAGTTTTGTTAAGAGAAATATACCAGAAAAAAATCTCAATTTATGTGAATAGGAAATAATCTTTTTAATGTGTAGAAAAAAAAATGCAAACACAAATATCCGCAGATGCAGGGATGAGATTCAAACTTTCATACTTTTTTGTCTTTTTTTGATGGAGCTAAAAACCCTGGGCTATTACAAAAAAACTGTATTTATTGATGTGTGTATGGATGTGTTTCTGCTGCTGGACACCTGAAATGTGAATGAAAAATCTGTTCAAGGAGCAATTAGTATCAGCAACGATGTCCATCCATCCATCCATTTTCTTCCCCTTAATCCATTTCTGGGTTGGGGGGGTGGCAGTCAGAGCTGCACCCAGTCGATATAGCACCAGCACCTCACTGATCCTCCTGCAGGTGGTGAGTCCACAGGAGCCCTTTTTCAGCAGGGTCTTCAGGTAAAGTGGGGTTAAGTGTCTTGCCCAAGGACACAACAACAGCAGTGGTAGGTCTTGTGGTGGGCTCGAACCCACGACCTTCAGGCTCAAAGGCCAATGCTCTACCAACTGAGCCACTGTCGCCCCCAGCAACAATGTATCCTTGAATAAAAGTGACTGAAGCCTTGTATTGTTTCTTGTACTGGAATAAATGTCTTAAAGAGAGAGTACGTAACTTTCTGATACTTCAAAGAGATGGATAAAGAACTAAAGCATAATCTGGAACACACCCAAGCAAACAACAATTCCCTGAAAACAAGAAGGAGTGGACCCTCTCCGTACTTTGGGTTGATAGCTGATTGGCCGAGTGAAGGTGGTCCTCTCGTTTTCACATTTTTGTCTGAAAAAGCTGATCTAAAGATATGACAAAGGCCAAAAACACACAATAGGCCAAAACTAGTAACAAAACTAACAATTGTTTGTGTTTTTAATATAAAGTTAGGTAACCCAGCTTTAAGTAGGGCATGTTTCTCCAGCGCAACAACCACAGACATTTAAAACTGTGCATAATGTCACATACTGGGGCTAGCATATAGTCTGATATATTACAACACATGAAAATCAAAAACGTGAAATGCATATCCAGCTGTTGATTACCTCTGTGTGGTGTGCGTCCCATATTCACCACGAGAAGTCACCTACAGAGACACAGGAAAAGATAATCAACATTCTGTTCAGTTACCTGAGGATACTGTATGTCCCTGTATGCTCTGCTGTGTCCAATGTTTTCTTAAATAAAGTGGAAAAAAAGCTCTTTTCAAACTGAGATAAGTCTGATTATCCTCCACATTTTCAGTCAATACTAATTCGTAAACGTGGCGACTTTTGTTGACCCTTTTGTCTCGTAAAAGGTACTTGAACTATGACGTGTTAAGTTATATTCATCCAGTTGTTATGAATGAACTGATTTATTATGCGTCACTGACTTTTGTCATTGACGGTTTTGTTGGATAAATATATAGAGATAGAGAGAAATGAATATAGTGATAGAGAGAAAAATAGATAGATATAGATAGATAGATATATAGATAAAAATATAGATAGATATATAGATAGAACAGGATGATTAAGAAGTGAAAACAAATTTAATAAAAAACCCACACATACAAAAAATAGAAATAAATCAATACATGTCCACGAGAAGTTATGGCACAGAAAGACAACGTTGCAATGCAGACAAAGGGGGCGGGGTTACACTTTTGTGCAAGAAGTTCCTGATATGAACATGGGTGGATCTAAAAACAACTCCAGGTCTGTTTTTGATCAGGAACTACAGTATGTCGTAACATGTTTTTTTTTTCATGCATACATCTTATTTTGTTAGGCACTTTGAGATTCCTTGTGTAAATGTGTATGAATTGGGCTCTACAAATAAACTGGCCGTGCTTTGCTATACCGTGAACCCAGCTCAGCAACAGAGATACTGGGCTGATGACAATACATGTGTTTAAAGTGAATGAAAACACTGCCACAGCTCAGTTCGATCCAAGTCTGTCGCTGAATAATAATAAATGTTGAATATACAATGGTTATAATATTTCTGTTTCAAACTAAGACCAAAGCAAACCATTCTGAAGTCTTTCAAATTGGACTCGACAAAAGACATCTAATCAAAACGTAATGCAACTTTCTCTAGAATTGGAAATGTTGAAGTAATGGCATTAGAATAAATAATTCAAGGGTTTCCTGAAGTGGTTGCTTCCTCTCTCTGCAACAGCCTGAGTGTTTTTGAGTCCGTCTGAAGAGGCTCCCATTCACTCAGATGGAGCCGAAAAGATTCCATTCCACCATAAAATCTCATTTAGGAGTGAGGAAAAGAGACAGAAGAGTGACACAGGGGCTGAGACTGAAGCTGGTAAATTTACAGCAAGATTATCAATATAAAAAATACCAGACATACAGAATTATCTATTAAAAAAACTATCACAATTCTATCACTCTATGTCAGTTCATATTCAGCCGATCTCCTCTTTGGGGCTTTCATAAGACAAATGTTTGGTTCATATTGACCTTTCAGTGCAATGTTACTTATTTGAATTCGATTTCCATAGATTTTTTTGTGTATAGCCGTAAATCACAACAGCAGTCGTCTCGGAGGACTTTGCAAAACTGTCTATTCACCAACAACAGACTATAGAATTTAAAAGTTCCAACACAGGAAAGGCAATAACAACAAACGCACAGGAGCCATTGGTCTGTGGGGAGAGGGACGACCACTGTCCATAAATGTCCAAGAATGTCATAAATGTCCAAGAATGTCCCTGATCATCACTGTCCTTAGACCAGGCATGTCCAAACTCAGGCCCAGGGGCCAATTGTAAGTAAGTAAGTAAGTAATGTTTATTTATATAGCGCATTTTACAGACCAAGGTCACCCAAAGCACTTTACAATGTTCAAAGTTCAGATATTGTTCCAACCATTCCACACACGGTGATGACAGAAACGAGTCACCGAACACACTGACGCATCAGCTCCCAATCAACACCATCCATTCACTCTCTCATTTACATTCATGCATGTTTTAGTGGTAGGGGAAACCGGGGTACCCGGAGGAAACCCACGCAGACACGGGGAGAACATGCAAACTTCACTCAGAAAGGCCCTGTTCCGGCCGGGATTCGAACCCAGGACCAATTGTGACCCTCTGTGTCATTTTATGGGCCCCTCTGCCTTGCTAACCCAAAGTAGTCGTTGAGATCATAAACACAAGTTCACCATGTCATCCATCCAACTTCAGCTCAGCCAATATAGACCTTGCTCTAAAGCCCATACGTCTGGATTTCAGTTGTTGACTTTATTTGCACATACTGTACTGGTTTTTGATTGTGTCACTTTCGTTAATGGTGCTAATGTAGCTAGTGAGATGGTAGATATTTGTCATTCAGCCAACTTCAGCTCTGTTATAGATCCTCATAAATCTTAGAACAGCCCGATGCCAGTCAACACTAGTCTGGTGAACTAAAGTGGAGTGAAGGGATCCACTCCCACAGAAGATAAGCTGCTGTGGGTAAAGATCCAGGGCTCAGGCTAGGATCTATATTTCCAGTAAAACCAAGCCTTCTGGGATGAGTCTGGACCAGTTTGAACTCCAAGCACACAATTATTATATAGTCAAAATAGGTTTATAGAGGTTTTACATGTATTCTGCCTTGATCTCTAAATACTTTATTACAGGTCTCTAAAGCTTGTTTTTAGTTATATTTGCCTCAGATAATGGGTCTATTAAACTAAATCTAATGCATTTTGTTTATAAGTTCTCAAAACCAAAGTGAAACATTATTTGTGTGGCACTAAAATAGATCTGGCTTTTCCACAAAAGAAAAACAACTTGAAGCCTTCCACAACATGTTTTTTCTAATGGCACTTACAAATGAACTATTAGTTATTACCAAAGGAAAAATAGTTTAGTAACAGGAGCAAGAGTTTGTTATTTCTCTGCGTAGAGATTGTTCTAGAGCAGAACTGCACTGCGTCACAAAGAGTCCATGCAGACACTTGTATGTACTCCAAAAGGTTCTCAAACTGATTACATGTTTTTTGTTTTGTTTTTATTTCCTCCGTACTTTTAGAGAGAGTGATTGCAGGTTAATAGTTGTTTTTGCAAGGAATAACATTTTGAGAACTTTTGTCACAATGAAATAATATGCATTCATTTAACAGATGAATTACACAGATTCTAACAACTGGACAATAACGATAATGAAGTCAACAAAAGAATTACAAGTACATTAAAACAGCTGAACTCATATTAAAGTAAAGTATTGTAAAGTGAAGTCATGTGTTTTCATGATAGTGTATTTGACATTATTAATCTAATACGACATAACAGTAATGTGGAAAAGGTGACTTAACTTTATCAACAAAATCCTCCACTTTATTTCTCAGAGTGAGGAGAAGTGAACATATGTGTCTGAACATTAAGTAAAATGTGTTTTCTGTGCAGGTTTTGAAATAAATAATTCAATTCAATAACTATGCATCATGTTAATGTTGTGAAGATGTTTTAAAATATGAAATTATGATTTAAAAATGCATGTACAGTCATTAAATACATATCCTATTTGCATTATCAGCATTTGAAATTGTCATTCAGTTTGCAAATGTTTGTTCAATGTAGGCAATTGTCCAAAACCTGGCAACCCACTAAATGTCTTTCAGATTCAGATTCAGAGAAGACTGTTGTGTGAATTTTAGGTCCTGGATTCTGAGTCTGAGTCTGAGCCATCCGTCTGTAAGTCACTAACTCAAAACTTGCTTCAAGGGTTAGGGTTAGGGTTGTGAGAGTAAAAAGGCATGCTACGACTATACTCACTGGGACAGTTTAAAGTCAGCCTAAATATATGGTTCAGATAAAATCCACTGTGCAGTCATTAAGCAGATTGTATAATAACTATGCCAGTGTGGTCTTACTGCAAATTGCAAATCAAATGAATCAAAAAATGCACTATATCTGATTAATTGCAACATCCTGAACAGTGATGATACTTGTTACAGTAAGTAATGGACATCATTCTACAAATCACATATGCACAATTCCCTATAATTTCGCTGTAAATCAATAGTTTTACAACTTCAGAGCACGAGGCCTTGGCTGCAGTCGCCTGGAGCCTTAACCTTATAATAACATAGAAATAAGAAGTGACGCAGCTCGTGTGTAAATATCCACACACTATAGTGGGCGGGGCACATTTTCATTATTCCACCGCTATACACCCGCTGCAACCTTTAATACAAACAACCACAATCCCGCGCCAAAACCCGCAAAACCACGCGCTCTCAACCTCCCGCAAGTGCACAGGTGGACCCGCAAACACCCAGTCGACGACAACAGACGCGCAGATATGGAGCAGAGTTGGAGGCAAGACCCATTACGCACATAAACACGCTCTTACGTCGTTCTCCACGAGGACGTATTATGGCTCTGATGTTATTGTCTGCAATGCACAGGCGGGTTTAAACAGAGCGTGTGACGTTGCTCTGCGTCCTGCAACAAAAAGGAATGAGAAACAGCACGTACCGAGGGCTTAAACGGCGTATTTTGGACAGAGAATCCTCACTTTCCATTAGATGCGAGCGGCCATGTTCGCTGCAGCGTCCGCGCATGTCCAGAGCGCAGTGCAATGCTCCCAATTCATATTTCAACCACACAGGGGAGGGGAAAAAAAGAGATTAATTAATAAATGCGACGCGAAGGAAAGCCAGAGGGGGCATGCTAATTAGTATTTTTTTGTATTTATTGCCAGGGCGGATATTGTTGCTTGTTTGATTGGATAATGCGTTTTGTGCCAAGCGTAAACGAAAACAAATGTGATATTTACTTGATGTGGTTTCCTGTGTTGTTAATGACTCTGAGGAGCACAGGGACTGGCCTCCAGCTGGTGCCAAGAGTCGGGACTAAACACGGGGAGGCAGAATTTCAGATTTATTCAGCTAAAATCTGGGACAGTCTTCCTGAAAATGTGAGACAGGCTTCTACTTTGATAATGCTCAAATCCAGCTCTGTTTAGCTGTGCAAAAAATTCAAGGATTGTGTCTACTATTGTTAATTTGATGTGGTAATTTATGATATTAATGCCTTGTGAGTGAGTGTGCGTGTGTGTGCTGTCGATCCTGTTGGT